TATATTGATCCCTTCGACTGATAAGTAAGAATGTAAATTCATAAATTTCTTAACTTCTTAGATATCGAGAGAGGTTATCCTATTGTATGCGCTCAGCATCACTCAATCAAGTCACCTTCCTCATTCTCAGCTTCTCATCGATTATCCGCGCATCAAACGATTTCTAGCACATACAACCCCTTAAGTGGTGGTTACTTGACGAAGATGTTAGAAGATGGAGAAAAAGAGCAATTCCATCGCCGTATCCATTACGCTGATGTGGAATCTGGAGTCAAAGTCTCATCACCTCTAGAGCGCAGCAATTCTAGAGTCTCTACCGATCATGATAGTTTGAGTATTCGACCTCATAGGCGTTCATCAATCGAGTTATCATCGGCACTTCCTATCCAATACAGAACGGTCTCATTCCAAATCTCAGGATCCCAAGAAAAGAATGCAGCGGAAGTACAACTCGCTAAAAAGTCGGCAGCGAAGGGTTTGTGTTATCATGCTTGAGTTTATATCACGATACTGACATTTCTCTAAGCACTTGCTGATCTTGATTGGCATTTAATTACACCAGACGAAGTTCTTAAGCGCCTATCAACATCCACATCCCAAGGTTTGTCGAAAGAACAAGTAAACCGAAGACTATCGCAATATGGAAAGAATGCACCATCACATCCTCCAAATCATCTCTTTCAAACTTGGTTCGGTTACTTCTTCAAAGGCTTTGGATCCATTCTCCTAGTCGGCGCTATTCTCGTTTTCGTCTCCTGGAAACCTCTCGGAGACCCGCCCTTACAAGCAAACCTAGCACTAGCTATCGTTCTCTTGGCCGTCTTTTTCATACAAGCCGCCTTTAATGCTTGGCAAGATTGGTCTTCATCCAGAGTCATGGCTTCAATTACTACTATGTTGCCTGATAATTGTTTGTTATTGAGAGATGGAGCCCGTGTCACTGTCATTGCTAGCGATATTGTTCCTGGAGATGTTCTTTGTATAAAAGCTGGTAATAAGCTTCCTGCTGATGTACGATTCATTGAAATGTCTTCGGATGCAAAGTTTGATCGTTCCATTCTGACTGGTATTTTCCCCAAATGTTTCCACGCTTCCTGATATGATACTGATTGAATAATTCAGGCGAGTCACTTCCGCTTTCTGGAATGGTTGACAATACAGATGAAAATTACTTGGAGACAAAGTGTATCGGACTTCAAGGAACTCATTGTATTTCCGGAAGTGGTATCGGTATCGTTGTTGCTACTGGAGATTCAACAGTCTTTGGAAGGATTGCTCAACTTACCAACACTCCAAAGACTGGTATGACTACTCTTGAGCGCGAAGTCTTTAACTTTGTCCTTGTGATTGTTGCTTTCATGGTAACTATGATTGTGCTTGTTGTAATAATATGGTACGTCTATCACATAAGTCTTGGTACTTGCGGACTCCAAATGCTGATCTGTATATAGGGCAGCATACTTGAGAAAATCATACCCTGATTGGATCAACGTACCAACTCTGATTGTTGATTGCGTTTCTGTCGCCATTGCATTCATTCCTGAGGGTCTACCTATTGCTTTAACGGCATCACTTACGATAACAGCGAATCTAATGCGTAAGAACAAAATTCTTTGCAAGTCATTGAAGACGGTGGAAACTCTAGGAGCAGTCAGTGTCATCTGTTCAGACAAGACAGGTACTTTGACAAAGGTATGCCTGTTTCTCTAACCCTAATCACTACAGAGGCTAATTCTGTTCAGAACAAAATGTTTGTTACAGAATGCTGTATAGGAACACATAGTATGACTCCACAGTCGGCCAAAGATGAGATGACTTCAAGTGGTCGAAACAATACTGCGATCTCTCAGATGAGATTGATTGCTGGACTTTGCAACTCTGGAGAGTTTGACGCCAGTACAATGCACCTACCACTTTCCGATAGAAAGATCAACGGTGATGCTACTGATCAAGCTGTGTTACGATTTTCCGAGTCGCTCGGTCCTGTCTCTGAACTCCGAAACATGTGGCGGAAAACTTTTGAATTGGCTTTCAATAGCAAAAATAAGTTCATGGTACGAACGTTAGCACTCACCGAGCCCGAAGGCCGTTCTTATGCTCTTCCTAGCGAAGAAGCGACAAGTTTTGCATCGGATGATACGTAAGATACCACCATCCAGTGGAAGATCATGACTAACTTTTTGTTTATCATAGTTTACTGACCATCAAAGGTGCACCGGACATCTTGATTGGTAGATGTTCAACGTATACCACCATCGATGGTAATTCGAAAGCTCTTGACGACGATGTACGTAGAAAAATTGACGAAATCAAGAATGGCTGGTCGGCAGAAGGCAGACGTGTCATTTTACTAGCACGAAAGATTGTCAAGAAAGACGAGTTGAAAACAACTCCAGATTCAAGTCGCTTTGAAAAGGAGATATCATCCCATGCACGATCTGGTCTTACATTGGTGGGCATCCTCGGTATTGTGGATCCTCCCCGCGATGAAATACCTTCCGTCGTATCTACATTGAGACGAGCTGGAATCCGATTTTTTATGGTAGGAAACTCATATTCATCTCATTCCATAAAACATACTGACACAATGATAGGTAACTGGAGATTTTGCTTTGACTGCTCAAGCAATTGCTACAGAATGCGGAATCATCACCAATTCCCCAAGCATGGTAAAAGATGTGAATTCCCTATCACGAAATAAACTCGTTTCCGAATCAGCTTCTCAGTCCGAAAATGAAAGCAAAGACCATGCAATCACTCCGCAGATAAGTTCTATTGTTCTAAGCGGACCAGAAATAATCACTCTCAATGACAGTCAATGGGATCAACTATGCAAATACGACGAAATCGTTTTCGCCCGCACAACACCTGAACAAAAGCTACGAATCGTCCGCGAATTTCAAAAACGTGATGAGATTGTTGCAATGACTGGTGACGGGGTTAATGATGCTCCTTCTCTCAAAGCTGCTGATATTGGGATTGCACTTGGAAGCGGTTCGGATATAGCGATTGAAGCTGCAGATATGGTTCTTCTCGAGTCATTTAGTGCAGTTGTTGAGGCAGTCCAATATGGAAGAGTGGTCTTTGATAATTTGAAAAAGACGATCGCATATCTATTGCCTGCGGGATCATTTTCGGAGTTTTGGCCAGTCATGACGAATGTGGCATTTGGGTTACCGCAAATATTGTCTTCGTTTCTGATGATTATTATCTGGTATGTGTATCTCCCTTTCATTGCAGCCCATTTTTTACTCTGTAGAAATGAGTATCAACTAACAATTCACAAAAAGTTGTTTCACCGATTGCGCCGCGGCTACAGTCCTCGCGTACGAAGCCCCTGAAGCAGACGTTCTTCTCCGCAAACCGCGAAATACCAAAACAGACAGACTAGTCGATTGGCAACTTATTCTTCAAGCGTATGGATTTATAGGTGTGATTGAAACGGCATCTTCATTCGCAATGTCGTATTGGTATTTACAGCGGAACGGAATCCCATTCACAGATCTGTGGTTTAAATATGGAAGTTTACCAGAGGGGATCGATCAGGATTATGCGAATGCGAGATTGGCCGAGGCGTCGAGTATTTATTTTGTTAATTTGGTGGTTATGTAGGTTTTCTCTCCTTTCATCCATTATTTTCATTCCCTATTTCCCATATCATGTACTAACATCCTCTCAGGCAATGGTTCAACCTCATGGCTCTGCGCACCCGTCGTCTCAGTATCTTCCAGCATCCTCCAGCTTTCAACAAAGAAACGCAAAATCTGTATATTTTCCCTGCGATCCTGTTCGCATTGGTAATGGCGATTTTCTGGCTCTATATCCCGCAGTTGCAAAGTGTGCTGGGAACGAGTAGTGTTCCGGTGGAACATTTCTTTTTACCAGCGGCGTTTGGAGTGGGCATTTTGATGCTGGATGAGGGGAGGAAGTGGGGGGTTAGGAAATGGCCGGAGAGTTGGATAGGGAGATTGGCTTGGTGATGAGTGGGGTGCTATGAATGGGAAATTTTGGTAACGGGCGGGAATGAGATAATAGTAATTGAAAAGATAGTCTGTCTGTCTTGTGTTATGACGGCTGTTCATTTAGTAATAGGAAATATCTGAACTCGTACTCCTCGATCCTCATCTTCGCATGTAAATTGTAATAGTACAAAATATGAGACTATAATCGGAATTAGCATGGAGTGTCTCTCCAATAGATGAACCGACACATTCTGCCGAATATATATATACCTAGGTATATACGGTAAATTACTCTCATGCCCCTTAGATTCTATTATAGATTTTATTCATTTTGGGCTAGATTCTATGAGAGGAGGCTAGATTTTATAGAAGGAGATTAGATTCTTATGCCCCCTAGATTCTATATAGAATCTAGGGGGCATAAGAGTAAATCACCTCTCAATTTTAGGGTATGAGAGTAATTTGCCGTTGTGTCCGCAAATCTTCTCAAATATCCTTCAAAAAAGCACACACATATCCAACAAATCACCCATATAGTACGATAAAAACATAATAAAACAAAAACCTCGCATTTCATTTGAACAACTACTCTATGAAACTAAGTACTGATAATTATCCGCTCGAAAAGCCCGCGCATAGGCGGATTCTGTTCGATCTGTTATGCGCTAATCCAATTTGATCCAATCCAGAACATGAAGATATGTATATATGTATCCTCTGACCTCTTCTTTGCTAATAAAAATTTGGGCTCAACCCTGTGATGTTGAAAAATGATATAATAGAAACATAGATAGGCAGGTAGGTAGGCACAGGTAGAAAGATATCTTTAAACTCGTATAACCTGACAAGTGCGTAACTCCTAACTCCCCGTTTCGCAATGGATTGCTGAGTCTTATTTTTTTGTAGTTCTTCTTGTCTCTTTTTATAGTTATTATCTCCTCCGCTCCCCTGCTTCCTTGGATAAACCACGCAAATTCCCTAAGCCCCATAACGCATACAAACCCTAAATTTCCCAAACTCCTAACCTCCCCCCTCTCCTCACGGCACATACCCCAAGCGTCTAGTCACCTCCGCCCACGCCCCCAACACTCCCCTTCTCACTCCGCCCATCCCGCGTCTCAAAATCGGTACTCCATAAACCACACCACTCACAACATAAATCATAATTTTCTCCGAAATGACGATGAGGAATGTTAACGCGACAGGAATCATGGATAGGGCTTTTGTTGTTAATTCTGCGATTTCGGTTTTGGATAAGGTGGTGCTGAGACGGAGGAGGTAAAATGCGAGGATGATGAGGAGGAGGATGCAGGTTAGGAATTGTCTGAGGGTTTGGTGTGTTAGAGGGGGAGTGTATGATATGGTATGTACATGTGTGTAGGTGTATAGGAAAGAAAGAGGAATACTTACATATCCCGCAATTCCCTGTATCTACGATTACTCTCTGCATTACGCGAACCCCAACGTCTTACGTGCAGATATTGGAAAAAGAAGAGAGTCCAGAGGAATAGTATTCTGTGATGTATTTTGTTAGCTATATATATATCTAAATATTAAATGAGGAATGGAAAACACACGCCAAGATAAAACACCCACGAGATGTTTCATGCAGAGTGAGGATATCGAATTGCGGAGCTGAGGGACCGGAGATGGAGAGGGCGTAGATGAAGGAGAGGGTTGCGAGGGGTTTACAAGTACGGAGGTGAAGCATGAAGAAGAGGGGCTTGGTAAGGGTGTGGGCGAGATGGCGGGGTTGTTGTCGGGGTGTGGGAGGAGGATGGTGGAGGGGAAGGATTTCGTGGAGGCCAAGGGAGGCCATGGCTGTTTGGGGACTGGTTAGTTGGGTTGATGGGGTGAGAAGGGTTGTGTGTTTAGATACCAGTGTTTTAGACCTTTGAATAGCTTGGCTATCTTATGTTTGGCGGGCGAAGAGTGGTAGTTGAGGCTCAACGGTTTATTCGAAGGGACAGTGAGAGATAGAGAACAAAGTTCTAGTAGAATGAGGTTCTAGTAGAATGAGGTTCTAGTAGAATGAGGTTCTAGTAGAATGAGGTTCTAGTAGAATGAGGTTCTAGTAGAATGCAGTTCCAGTAAAATAAAGTTTTGTTAGATGAGGTTTTGGTGGAATCCGGCAGAACACTCAGCCTTTCGTCTCCAAATTCAGACTCGCATAAACTATCTCGCAACTCATTTGCCCGCAGGTACGAAACATAAATCAAGAAGATATACCCGGTACAGAGATAAAAACTGCATGTATCTTAAATCCAGTGTCGAAAGAAACGGCAAACAATATGTATGGAAGGGAGCGGCAAAATCGACTTATATGCTCCGGAGTCCTGGGAACGCGGGCAAGCACTCTCGAGCTTGGAATAATAATAATAATTGCAATGACTGTAAGTGTAGCACTGCAGAGGTCGTAGTGAGGTGCTACAAAAGCAAGGCAGAATCCTCGTGAACCTATAAGTAGACTCGCGAGCCGATGATCTCTGTGTTTACACAGCCTGAGAGGTGTAACTTGTGAATATATATCTGACCATTTCGCTCTTCCTGTCTGGTGTCCGGTAAAAATAACGGAGTCATATAGTTTCCGAGAAACTTTTCCTTCGATCGCAGGTGAAAAGATCTTCGAAACTGCCTGGTTTCTTTGCGCAAAGATATCTTTTGCTGTCATGAAGTTTTCCGATTTTTTCATCGCGACAGGGTCGCTGATCGTTAGCACTCGCTGTATCATAAGTCAATACCAAGAAGTGAGTTCACAGTACTCTTGTAGACTGCGAAAATCCAAAGCTAAAATTCCCGGTAGTGCTTCGATATATCGAGCCTCTCTCACCTCCTCAAAAACGACACAATACCCGAGATTCCATCCTCCAGCCTCGGCCCAACATCAGAGCTTACAACTGCCATTTTTGTCTGCACATCAATTGGACTGATAGCATGGATTCACGATATTGGGAAACATGAGAAACTGCACGCTCCAATGGTCATTCTTGCCTTCGGTTCATCGGTTTTTCTCTGGATCGAGTTTGCGGCTCCGGTGGAGATTTATCTTTTTGTTATATTCCCCTGGATCTTGTTAGGGGGGCTATTGATTAGCAGAATACATGATGCAGTTTGGAGCAAGAAAGGCCTGCCGGCATCGGAAGAGAAAAGGGGTAGTGGTTGTATGTTTGATTACCTAGTATACTGAAGGCTTGCGGTTCTGTGGAAAATTATCGGTGTAGAATGGTGGCGGATTCGTGCCATCATGCCAGGGCAAAAAGTGTAACTGGCGCGATTTTACTTATTTATCACGTATATTTCTTCAAAGAAAACTCTGGTGGTAATGATGACTTTGGTCCACTGGCATTTTTCGGGAAAGGGGAGAAAGTTTCTATCACATTTCATTTGTTTTATATAGGAGGGAAACTCCAGTCCAATGGGACATACTATTTAGGGACAGGAGATTTTTCCATGTTCCATTTCTTCATCTTCTTCATCTTATATAACCCTTTCTTTTCAATTTGAGGTTGAGTTGTTTGGTCTGTTACTTTTCTTTTCTGGGTTGAAACAATGTAACTATCGGGACAAGAGTCTACCTAGGTAGTTTTTCGTTACTACCTTAACGAAGCTCATCATGTGCGCGGGGAGAATTGATGGCGCAAAATACTCTAGCACAATACGAGTGAAGGGGTTGAGACATAAATTATGCGGCCCGTCAAAGATTGCCTCCCGGAATTGATTTCCAAAAGGCGAGCTAGTGTATTGGATCCGCCTTGAGACCATTCAACATACAATCTCCATTTGAATATCATGTTGAATTGAAGAAACACAAAAGGATTGAAAAGCCATGCTCACGTGCAAGCCGACCAAAAATCCGAACCATCGAATATCTTGCATAAAGAGCCTCATTAATCCGCCTTGCGGGTGTTTGTGGTAGTACAACGACAGCTGCTTCCCCTATTTGCGTATATTTCTGGTGTGGCTTGATTCCAGCACTCGCGATGGAGTAAATTTTAATATGCCAATTTGTATGAGCTGCGGCTATTCAGTTCTTGATGAAAGCAATCCATTCATTCCGCTAGCTTGACAATGTATGCCTAAAAAGCACTTGGCAGATTAGTTTGCCCGCTCGTTTGCTGGCGATACTGCAGGTTTTTCTCGCTGGTTATTGACACCTCGGTAATGATTGTTAAATATTCATTGATACCATCGAAACTATAGATGAAATTGACAAATATCACCATGAAGAAATGAAAGAGAGTATGCTCAACTTCAACAAATTCCTCGAAAGCATACACTGGCATGAACTAAAGATATACGGAGCTGAATTTCAGATCGATCCACAATGTCAACACGTAGATGTATCTTTCGGAATCAATGATTCCCGATATGGAAGCACATGATAATATTTTATTTTACATTCTGCTTCCACTGCTTCGTTGCTTCGCCATATTGTTACACCAATCTACAATTCCAATACAGTCACCAGTTTCGAAACTTTGTAGTCAAATCAATTCTCAAACACCTTCGTCTCAAATTTGACATTGGCGGATTGAAGGCGATTGATGTATTTCTCGCCCAGCATAGATGGAGTATAGATACCACCTGACAATTTGTGATCATCTCGAAGTAATGAAATTGCACCCTGGGCAATCAATAAACCAGTCACTGCATCATATTAGTTACCCGAAAACATCCCAGGCCATGTTATTTCACTTACATCCATAGATTGAACCTTCATAATATTCCCGACAGAAGATTCTCGGAGGATTTGCTTGATCGTTGTCCGGTTTAGCAATAGCTCGGAACTCGACTCGATCAGACTTGGTTTCCTCTTTTGTGGCTCCGTCTCCTGGCTGATAAACATATTTCCTGGCCGTATGTCTGAAAAATGGGATTGACAAGAATAGACCACCAAGAATGAGACCAAAGTGTATTGCTATGCCAGTCAGATAGTTTCTTGCTTTCATATATTCCTCGACCTTGAAATTAGGACCATAGAATTGCTGCTCGCTAGATAACCCCCAACTTCGATGAATGATAGCTAAATCGGTTGACCCTGCAAGAGAAGTGGTGAGAATTCCTAAGTCCGGTACTACTTTGATTCCGGTAAGTTTGGTGATGAGAGATGTAGATGGGCGGACTTTTGGTCCAGGTATTGGGGATAGAGCGTATGGAGTAAAGGCATCTTTGAGTTGCTTAAGGTTGAATACTTCCAGGAGTGTGAAAACTGTTTCTAAGGTTCCTCCGGAAGGTTTGGCTCTAAAAGATATTAGTCCATTGGTTATCCAGATATTCCAATTTAAGTGCTATAGCTTACTTCATCTCGTGTAAAGATACGATAACTTCACCAGTAGGTGCAGATAGTCTTTCCCGGACAGCATCAACAGCACATCGAGTAATCAAATCAGGTAGACCAGATTCAATACCACATTGAGGGATGAGAACAGCGCCACTAGCTTTAGCAGTACTTTCATATTTCTTGATCATCTTAGCCACCCATGGTACTTCTCCGGTGACATCAAAATAATGTGTACCATTTTCCGCACATGCTTTGAAGCAGTGTTCGCCGTGAAGAGCATAAGGGCCAACTGTTGCCAGGATGACCTTTGTCTTTTTAGCCAGTGCACTTAGCTCTGCATCATCTAAGTTACAGATTTCAATAGCTATATTGAGGGAGGTGTTAGTTAAAAACGAGAAAGATGATACCTATGGAATACCTATCCTATCATGTATCGCACGTGATATCAAGGGGTACACAAACTGTTGGAATCGTAATTAAGAATCTTACACACCTGGTTGTACTCTATCCGGATTTAAAGACTTGCATTCAGCTGCAACAGCCTCTAACTTGCTGGCAGAACGACCTGCTAAAGCCCAACGAAGATCTGTAGGCAGATGTGTGGCAACATGTTCCGCTGTAAGTTTTCCTGTGTATCCTGTGGCTCCGAAGATGACCAATTCGTACTCTCTATCTCCTGAAGACATTGTTTTTATATACAAGTGTAGAACGCAAGAGAATTGTGAAATATCACTTGATTATATGTAATTTAATGGACAAGTACGATGTTTTACTATCACATCAACATCCTGTTTCCAGATCAATATTCTTGCCGAGGTTTAACCAGGCTTTGTTCTTTCAATTCTTCGATTTGAAACTTAAAGAGAGCATATCGATCAATTCATAGTAGGGAACGCTCATGATGAGTACAACGGAAGATGTTATAGATAGTATATATAAATGTGACAACATATTAAATCTCACTCTTTGTATACCTATGCTCCATTGTGATTTATAAAGAATATTTCATATATAACAATAAGATTTTACAGCATCTGAAAATGTGATTATATATCATGTGACGGACATCATTCTGAGACTTTCCATTGGGGACTAGCGTAATGGGGCTATTAACCGAATCCCACGACGAATTTGACCAAAATAATTCCCATCAAGCACATTGCGACAAATCTTCAATTTCCTCATCACCGTTCATCAACGCAAAATACCGCCAAGATGACAAAGAGAACCAAGAAGGTCGGAGTCACCGGTAAATACGGTACCAGGTATGCGATTATTCCAGCTCTACAAACTGTACACACCCAAATATCATTGGAAGGAAGAATCTGCGGCTTTTCAACACGCTGTTGAGTTGTGATGGGATCGAGGAACTTTCAATAATGGAGGAGGATCAACAAATCAATACTTGCAGCAGATGGAATCAAAATAGGAAACCAAACGAATCAACAAACAAGTGGCTAATTGCTTTTTCCCCAAATAGATACGGTGCATCCCTCAGAAAGCAAGTCAAGAAGATGGAAATCACTCAACACGCAAGATACGTCTGCACCTTCTGTGGAAAGACCACCGTCAAGAGACACTCCGTTGGTATCTGGGATTGCAAATCATGCAAGAAGACCGTTGCTGGAGGAGCTTACACCGTCACGTATGAGCCCACGATTCGAATTAAGTTATTCCAATTTACTAACATATTCGACAACAGAACCCCCGCCGCCGCTGCTATGAGATCAACTCTCCGCAGATTGAGAGAAATCGCTGAGGTTTAAATGGCTTGGGATGGATGTTTGTTTCTACGGGTTATTTTTTCTGCGGCACGGGATAGATCTCACTTATGATATACAAGGGAAAAGCATCGCGCTGCATGATCGATGCCGATATTCGATGAGACCGGATAAAGAAAAATGAAATCATACCCTGCCTCAATTTATGGTCCACATACAACGATTGCGAATTTGGTGTGAATATGTGAAATTGGGTTCCAGAAGGATTAATCAAGATGTCGATCAACAATGGTCATTAAGCGCCGGAGGCACTTCCAAGATGTTATGCTTACACGTCAAAGTGAAGACGTCGAATGTCCAATGCGATTTCGATCAAGCCCACCTTTTCATGATCGAGTTGACAATTCCACCTAACCTTATTTTCGGAACCTCCGGTGGCTGTTCTGTTTGTTTTTATCATAATGCTATCCAAATAATTTGCTTCGGCAAGCGCTAAAGCATAATAAATTGATACTGTGGTAGGTCGACCTGTAGATCAATTATTGGCCGTATCTGTTTATGACGTTGGTCATCACTCGGCCATCCGAATACATACCAAGACAAAAGTGCCTCAACATCTGGATTAGTTCCATCGTTCTATTACCATCCCACAAACCACCATTGCCGTGTTTAATGTGGTTAGAGCCTCAAAATTGACTATCGCAAAAGTCTAATGTCATGTTTATAGGGGCACCAAGGTTTAGTCTATGGTCACCATGCATAATGATGGGTTACATTACATGTCTTTTACCTTCATTGATTGTAATGATATCTGCTTTATTAAATATGAATGCTCCCAGTAGTTCGTTCTCAGTATCTTCCTCGTGAGAATTACTTATTTGTTTTACTTTTGATTATCAAGAAAATTTGGAAGCTTCGTCTTATCATTTCACTTTGACATCTTGAAGCTCTTATATTATGGGTGGACGCGAAAGTGAAGCCGAATGTGAAGCCAGAAGTAGAAGCAGTAGTAGAAGGCATTACGAACGTCCCCCTCCTTCATATCGTAACGACAGGGATACTGAATGTCAGAAGTAGAAGTATTACTACTGCGCTTGTGACGAGTAAGAGGGAAAAGAGGCCACCGATCTCTATGGATAGATATGGTGCTAATGGGGGTAAGTCGGTGCAGGTGCTGGGTACTAAAACTTGATTTGACAATGCTGACAATAACAGAATTTCCCAGGAGCCGGAGCCGCAGCAGCGGAGATGGAAGTATACGTGTGCCGTCGAAAGCATCTATCGCAACTGCTCGCCGTGCGTTTTTTCTCGAATTGAGGAATTGTTGTGGATGCTGGCAATGATAAAAACAGCTTCAAAGCCTAGGGCCCGCAAAAGGGATACTGACTCGCAAGCATTTGATACAAGGTCGTATACTTCTGGGCATTATGCGTTTGCCCACATCTCAATGCACTAGTCAGAAGTCCAGTATTGACATGAAAGTAGATCGGGAAATTATGGTGCCAGAAGAAGGGAGAGAAAATTTGTATAAAAAGGACTGGAAGGATGGACGATCTGTATATCTATAGAGAAAATCTAGAGATAGCGTTCCCAGATCTGAAAAACCCCGCAGATCCACACACGAAATGGCAAAGCTATCGAGGCAGAGCGAGCTTGAACCTCCACCCCCGAGATCCCGCCCGAGAGAGAGAGAGAGAGTTGCAAAGTGGAATGAGGAATGAGGATGTAAAACGCAATACTGAAGAAGGCATATTGGATGGTGATCCCAAAACCGGGCTAAGATCAGTCAATGGAGAAGATCATTACAGAGAAGGTTCGAATGCACCATCACACCACGAGTACCAACATAGCCTCCATTCTGAACGCCCTTCTCAGACTTCCAGGCCATCGTACATTCCTCCTCCTCCTGAATTATATGCTTCTGCCTTTCATCCCTCTAGCAATCGGACATATATCACACAGTCGTGATAGCTATGCTCCCTCTGAGACTCCGTCACGGAGATTGCGCAATCTTCCCCCACCGCATCGTCGTGGCACTTATGTTGGTGGACACCATAACGTTGGCGGAAACCATAATATTGGAGTCGTGGCCCTTAGGCAAACGCAAGTGAATGTGACGAGTATCGAACCCCCTGATATGAGTTTAATGAATGGATCGAGCAGGAGAGAAAGAAGGGAAATGAGATAACACGAATTGAGATTGAGCAGGGGTAGATCGAGGAGGAACGACAGTGAAAGTGACAGTAACTAGTAGGGTTTAGAGAGGCTGGAGTGAGGGGGAAGCACGAGTTGAAATCTGGAACTGAAAACCGCGGGGGAAGAATTGGAAATTGGAAACCAAGTATAGTATTATATCTATAAGGATCAGGAAATCACCGTGGAAACATCTCCACATGGGCTAGAGGTTGCGGAGTTCTTGGTAGCGGGCGCTGTGGGTTGGGTCTGTTTTGTTTTTGGTAAGGCTTCTCGGTTTGTAGATTTGCTTTAGAGAATCGGATTTTGTTTTTGTTGTAGACTGAGTGGTCATTTGATCGTATATAAATATACGGCATCTTTTGATGTTGATTCTTCTTGTCGTAGGGATTTTTCATATTTATATGTATACTTATATCAGTTTGGTTCCGTGAGATCTTTGGAGGGGGTTCTATCCAGCTTTGATTTGCTTAAATTCAATTGTCGGATTTAAAATTCCGTACATGATATATCCTCTAACTCATATTTTACAATCTAAAATAGACTATTTCTTAATTTTCTAACATACTCCGCATCTAACTTACCTCATATTTCGATCTGCCAAGTTGTACACCGTGGAAAAGTGTAGACATAATATAAAACATTAATCCAGAAAACACAGGGTGCACAGAGAAGAGTTTTTCATTGTCGATATAATACTGTACCATAACATCGTAAACTTCCCAAGACCGAATTGCATACCTGCAGATGGGATTGCCGAACGAATCTCTGTATCCTGATCTCAAGTTCCATCTCCATATTCTTCTGATTTCTATGGACAACATAACCTCCCAGAAACAGCTTTGAATCAACTCTACTCATTTCGATTCAACAAAGCAAAGTAAACCCCATCATTCCAATCCCCGAACCAACTCAACAACTTCTTCCGCACACCCAATACTACATTGATACCCTCCACTCCCATGTCCATAATTATGAATGACATAGACACCTTCTATTTTCTTTGCTTTTCCCTTTCCTTTTCCACCTCTCCCACTATCCCCTTCCCCACCCATCCCCTCAATCTCAACCCTCGCACCCCCCTTCCTCCCAGGTCTAAACCCCACATACGTATCCAAAACCTCTATCTCCCCTTTCTCATTCTTCAAATCTTCAGCCCATCCTATATCTTTTAATCTCTGGATTATTCTACTTGATAATTCGCGGTCGGGGTTTGCGTTCCAGGTATTGGCCTGTGGGTTTTGTGTGGTAAGCTTGTGATTCCCTTTGTACTTTTTTCTCCTCCCCCTTTATTTCCTCATTCCCGAAGCGAAGAAATCCACCTCCGCTTCCTATTCTTCTCCATTTCCTGTACATATACTAGGAAGCAAGTTTCCCACCCTCCGTCAATCCCCCCAAGAAAACCAAACAGAAATCAACCCACCTCCTTAACCCCCCCAACCACACTCCTCCCACTCCCGGGCCTCGGAATCACATAGAGCAACTCATCCCCCCTCACCCCCAAATCCCCCACAAAAGTCTTACAAACCCTCGTTTCCCCTCTCACCAACAAAACCTGTCCTCTCACCGGAAACATCTTCTCCGCTTCCTCTTCCCCCACGAATCGCGCGGCAGAGAGTCCCGTGCAATTAATCAGGACATCGATTTTCTCTCCCGCAAGCACATCTCTACACCCGCGCACCACACCTTCCAATCCTTCCTTGGTTTCGATTTCCCCGCGGATAAGCTTTCCTCCTCGCTGTTCTATTCTTTGTATTAAATACCTCAAATATATATCTACATCCACACACACCGTTTCGAACTGTACACCTTTTCTGACTCCCTTCCCCAGAGATCCCTTGAGTTTGTTTTTCTCCAGCCCAACGTCCAATTCTCTATACCCTCCCACCATATCCTCAAACCACACACCATTCTCGTTGAACTCCGCTCCGTGGTATGTAGATCCCAGATAGTATATCGAGGGTGTAATTGCCATTCCCATTCCGATTTCCATTTCATTTCCTCTTGCTCCCTTCCCATCCTCATTCTCTACAATCAAACTCTTCCACTTACGATAAGTCCTCTCCTCCCATCTTCTCAGTCTTTCATCTTTATCATTATCTTCACCACTTTCCCCATTTCCATCCCGCCCCTCAGTGATACAAGTAGCAGGTTTCGAAGCATGACTTCTCCAATCTGCTCCTGCCCATGGTGAACAATAATTTTCATTCTTGTCACCGGGGAGATATTTCGCCAGGAGTGTGATTTTGTACTGGGGGGATTGATTATTTGGGGAGGAATCAAGTAACGAAACCGCCGTTTGTAACCCCGAGATGCCGCCGCCGAGAATGAGGATGTTCTTTGTGGTGGGAGATGTCATTTTAATACTCGTAGCAATTCGATAGTGATCGTAATAGTAATCGTAATAGCGATACTACAATTTGTCAGCTCGGTTCGGCAGCTGAGATGTCGAGATGTTGGGATATCGAAATGTTGTATCTAGATTCATTTAACTTTCGTAACCTTATGGATTCTGTAGGTTAATGTAAGATGGACTGATTACCTTCCCACCTTCCTAGGTATCAATAGCAACTCACAGTTTCATACACATATATCAATAGTAAAATCAAAAGTTTTGATAAATCAATTCGACTTAATATCAAGAGTTGATATTTGGTAAATAAAGCATTTCCTATAAATAAAAATTTAAAAGAATATTTACAGTTGAATTAACATGAATCCCACCCGTATTTTTTCCCTGAGGGTATTCATATCCATATTCATAAAAAAAGAAGAGTACGAGTACGAATATAATTTTGATATATATATATCCATATACATATTCATATCCATATTTATATCCATATATATCCATATATATACATATATATACATATACATTTCCATATTCATATTCACGCAAAAAATTCGACTCCCTCGCTTCTCATTCATTCATGTATTTCGTAAAAACCTCAACCTCAACCAAAAAAAAACCTCTAGAATAATACATTTATCTTTTCTTTTCTTTTCTCTTCTCTTCTTCAGCTATTCTACAATATGATATAATATTCATCTTCATCATCTTCTTCGTCTTCTTCTCCCTCTTCTCTTCTCTTTCTTCCATAGGTATGAAGATAATCTTTTGTATAAGATCTGATCCTACATCCTTCATCTCTCATGCCTCATCCTAATCCCATTCTAATTCCACGGCAATACCCCTACCATACCAATACAGAGATCATTCCATTGAGACAGACAGACAGACGACAGACAAACCCCAAATTCTTCATCCACACCTCTCTTTTCCTCTCTTTCCCCTTCATCACCCTCCCCTATACACACTCCCAATCTACCTACCCCCCAACATTCCACCCACCTGACTCCAAAACCTCTTGGTAACCAATTCCTCAATCTCCTTCCTCGTCAACCACATAAAATCTTCCTTTCCAAATGCATTTCCCTTAAGATTGGCTTGGCCAGCCATAATTCTTCCTTTCATATAGAATACCTTTTCTGCTTCTCTTCCAAATTTCTTCGAGGGTTTGATGGTGAGACTACCAATGGGGATATGTCCTACTATCCACGTATTCATGTTTTCACCTGCTGTTTGAGCGAGGATTCTTTGGGCTGCCTTTGGAGGTGTTAGTTCATGTATCGAAACAATATTGATGGATGCGGAAAAGAGGGAAGTAGGGGAATTAGAAAACACATAAAACAGTAAAAGAAAGCAAAACCCCAACGAACCGTATGCAAAACCTCATTCCCCGCCATATCCCCCCTGGGAAACTCCCAAACATCCACATGTACTTCCTTTCCCTCCCTATCCACCGACTTCTCCTTCCCCTTCACAACCAAATAAACCGTCTCATCCATCTTCCTCGCCAAACTCCTCTTATCCGTCTCTCCCTCTCTACTCTCCAACTTCACCTTTTCCAAATCCTCCCCCATCCCCTCTTCCACCAACTTCCCCGCAATATCTTCCCACTCGGCGACCTTTTCCTCTTGTCCCCCAATCAACACTTCATCATTCCATCCTTCTTCCCCATAAGCTCTATACCCACCAATATCCCTCGCCGCAACCCCATTCCTCTCTTTGACCTTCGCCTTCCATTCCAAATCCGCCGGTTGATCTTTCTTATGATAAAAGTATCTCGTGAACGGTAATACCAATCTCTCATTCAAACGTTTCTGGTAGAGATAAAATGCCTTTTCAAACGGCGTCGCGGTTTTCGTAAGGAGCGGAGGCCGACTGAGGATAATTCCCGTCGAGATTTTATACGTCGTTGCTCCGGGGGAAGGGGAGACGGGAGGCATGGCGGAAACATGTGGGAGGTGGGAGGGCGCTCCATCGAGAGGTTTAAAGGATGATGCCGCGACGGCATAGGCTCGCGAACGGGGTGTTTGTATACATGGTGTGCGGGTACGGAGAGACGTTCGGGGAACAATGGTTGGTCGTGAGGAATCTGTGGCGGGGGCTTGTTAGTGATTGATTTGAATATCAATGTGAATACAATCCCGTGTAATCCTGCAATCCTCTTTCCAAGCATCCCCATTCATACACCCGTCATCAAGCCATTGAGCAGTAAATAATCCCTCCCTCCGAGGTTTTCCACATCCCGCAAGCTCTCACTCTTCTCCAAGCAAGCGCATGATATACATATCATCGACCACACTCCTCATTTCCAATTGAGCACACCGAAAGAAAGAAGACACATACATAATAATCTCTGAGCAGTTCTACTGCAACCCCTACTACTCGACGTCATATTTGCTTCTAAATATCGTAGGTATGTAAAGTACGTACGTACAACAATACTTCTCTGCGCACTCACCACACCCACACGCACATCCAACCCACCATCCAAAAAATAAATTCCACGAAGCTTACTAATCGCTCTTGATCCGCCCACCAATAACTTCTCCCGTTCAATTCATCTTCCCAATCCAAATCCACATCCACTAATCCCCATACATCCTAGCTCCTCACGTGCCAATCACACAACATAAAACTCTTCTCCTCCTTCAACCTTCTTCGTCCCCTAATCCACGGCATCAATCCTTATCATCAAGACCCGTTTCAACCCAGAACGTCCTGACCATTTATCGATGCCTAGATTAAACATCTCAGGCTTTTTTCGCTAGCGGTACCCTCGTCTTTACCTACGGGAACTGTTAGATAGCGACTGTTTACATTTCCTTCTCCATCTTGAGTTTTTTGTCTTGTTGAATGTGTGAGAGGAGGAATGAAGTACGAGGATTTGGAGTATCTATCTTTGGCTTCGATGGAAGAGAGAAGAGAAAAACCGGGCAATATTCATATATATTCGTATAGTTAAAGAAGCAGAAGCAGAAGAGCATGTAGAGAATAATCCATCTTAGCTAGCTATGATGGAAATAACAATGAAAAAAGAGTCAACCTTCAATACAAATCTCTCTACCTACCTACCTACCTACCTACCTACCTACCTATATACAATTTCTTACTCCTACCTAGGTATTTACTAAAAATCTTGCGAGTAGAATTTTCTTCACACCACATACAATCAATAGAGAGAGATATCAGAACATATCAGAAGGTTTTCCCTTTCCCCTTTTTCTCTTCCCTTCCCTTTCCCTCAACAATACAATACAATGACCTAGATACTAGGTATTAATAATACATACAGAATACTCATTCATATACTCGTATAATAAATCTGCATCTCATCCTCCATCTCATCCTCCATCTCATCCTCTTTCCTATTCTACATTTGACACACATTTCACATCTTACATTTCGCAATCAACAAGTATCAACAAGTATCTCCATACCCATTTCACTTTCTCAAAACTTTCTCAAAACTTTCTCATTTCAATCTCAGTATCTCTTTCTATCACCATCACCACCACACCATCAACCATTTCTTTCCCTTTGCCACTCATTCATATATCCTATCATTCCCCTCATCCCTCACGCTTCACCCCTCATCCTCACTCACACCTTTCTGACCTCTCACCTCACACCTCACACCTCTCAAATCACAATATACAACCCCCTCTCCATTTCTCCTCCCTCCCCTCCCTCCCCCAAACAATCCCACAATCCCACAACAAACATATCCCATATCCCACAACAAACATATCCCACATCCCACATCATGACTCTCTCCATCTCCATCTCCATCTCCCCTCAAAAGTCTCTCCATCCCAAATATTACAAACACTCTAATCACAATCACAAACACTCCAATCTCCAATCCCCAATCTTCCGAATCCGAAAACCAGAGTTCCCCACCTATACACTCTCCTATTCTCCCATTCTCCCATTGTCCCATTGTCCCATTGTCCCATTGTCCCATTGTCCCATTGCTCCAGCGCAAGAAAAGATATTAATGGTATCATAAACAGCAATTCACATTATGCATACCAATGCCCTATAATGAACCACACCATTCCACACCATTCCATTCCATATAACACCAAATTACAATTTTCCTTGTAATATACGAGAGAAGAAAAAAAAAGGCAATTCCATTCGCTAATAGTAAGTTGTGACTCCATGTTCAATATGCCCTCAAGCAACCTCCAGAAAATATCCCCAAAATCTTTTCGCCGTCCATTTTGTTCGTATGCGTTTCGTTACAATTAAAATTCCATTCCAAATCCACCTCATGAGATTTGATTTCCCAAAGATTGAACCGCCTTACCAACTTCCGTCGTGGCAATCTTTTCCCATGAACTCTTATCTCCATGTGCATGATTTGGGTCCGCAATAAGTTCATAAAGTTTCCTCGAAACATTTCGATTGATATCCGCATATTGTTCTTCTGAAATCTTTTGAGATTTCCAATGAGGTCCGAGAGCCGTTTTAACTATTTTGTTGATGCTTTGTTTCTCTTCAATTGACATGGTATTTCGTAATGGTGATGTATTTTCGGATCGAGATGTTGATGAATTTACAACATTGGTTCGTACAGGTGATGAATCTTGAGATCTTGCTCGTGACATTTTTTGTCTACGAGGTTGAGGTTGTCGAATTTCCGGAGTAGGTGATCCATCCCTCTTTCTCTTGTTTTGACCCCCAGCCATTTGACTTGGGGAATCGACTGTTGGTGATCGATTTGGTGAATAGTGAACAGCAGAAAAATCAGGCATGACAGTTGAACTCAAAGGAGGAGAACGGGATTGTCGACCTCTTGGTGGGGGTGTGGTTGATATTGCGCGACTGCGAAAAGATGCAGGAGACGCTGGTGAAGTAGCAGGAGATGAATAATCAAATGATGGACTTGTAGCCCCATTTGCTCGATTAGATGAAACATCCAATCCAAACCTTATCGAATCATCGTCGGAAGATGGTGCCATCTCAACTTCTCGAAGAAGTGAAGAAAGAAATGTAGGTTC